AAAAGAACAATGGCTTACATTCTATAGTTTCTTTTGACTTGTCAACCACAAAAACGTTTGGGCATAGGAGTTTCAGGAGGTTGTCTTTGTGTGTATGATTATTATCCTTATGATCACTATGATATATATCGTTGATGAAAGACTATGGTGTATGCGAATCCTGGTCGAAACTGTTCTCGATAGATATTGGCGATGATCAAGATTCCTGTCACTATTATCAACCTATAAGTTACTTAAGAAATGGAGCTGTCTTGTCATTCCATTGTCCTCTGAATGAATTGACTTACTACGACAAATTAATGACTCGTTTATTTCACCGATTCAAGTTTAGAATTTAAGTTTTATTACAATCAAAAACTCTCAGAAACAGACACACCTAACTTTTTTATTACAGTAAAAAATTCTCACATAAAGTCACATCTCGACTCGAATTAAAAACTTGAATCAACGAACTAAACGGGCCCTAAAAGACCTAAGATTCAAATATCTCAAGTTTCTTGGTGCTGCCTCTCACTTTGTGGCCATTGCTCATACTCCAAGCTTCATTTTCACTCAAGGATGTTGTGATGACGGGTAATGTTGAGGTACTCAATGTCAATTCAAGGTATGGATAAGCATTTCTTTTTTTGGTTTATCTTTTTATCCTTACCGTTTATGGCACATTATTGGTTAAATCTGCTAAAAGGTTGTGAGTTCATGAATTAAATTTATTTATTTTCTATTAGTTGTTTATGCATATATCTAGTTCCATGAATGACTAGGTTATATATATATATATATATATGTTTGTAGATATATGATTGAGTGGAGATGTTTTACCCTCATCACCGACGGGTATATGTCATGTAAACATATAAATTTAATCAACTGTATCATCTTTGCTTTCATGTAATGAAGATATCTGTGGTTGACTGATTCAGAACACTTATTAAATGGTAAATGATTTATTTCCTAGATGATATAAATACGTTGGATTGACCAAATTACCCCAAAAGTTGACGATTATAAGAAAATGGGATCAGCTAAAATCAGTCATTCTTTTCTTTATGCCAACAAGTACATTGGTTTGATTAATCTCTGGTGTTTGGTCCTGATTTCCATTCTTTCCATTTTGACATGAAATTCATAGCTACATGTCCTTTTTCTAGTCACAAACGAAAAACGGATTCAGAAACCCAGCGTTCTTAAGAAATGCGACAATCATTTTTCCTTTCCCCACGCCGAAGGGTGTCGTTTTTGTTTCTCACAAAGCACATCTTCAACTAATAAGTTTTGCACTGACATTTTAGCCATGATAATATAATTGAATTTAATATGACTTGTCACATTTATATGACGTGTTGAATTAAAAGATAGCGCTGTCCAATATTAGAGCAATATTATTTGTGGAAGAAAAAAAAAAGATAACACCTTTTCTTCGGATATCTCCTAAAAAACGACATGTTGAATGGAAAGAAAATTATTATCAAAAGTATTTTCTTTTCCCCCCCTGAATAAGAAAATTAAAGTTCAAGTAAGGAGGATTACCAATGTTCTATTCTTGTATGATCCTGTACATGTCAAATTTGTCTTTAAATCCACAACTAACTTAGATTATAAGGGAATTGTAGGGATTTTTTTTCCCCTTTTCCTCATTAATTTTCTCAATATGGTCTTTCTATGAATGCAAGCGTTGCCTAATCTAAAGTTAATTTACAGTCATAAAAATGACTCGCACCGACGTTGTTTGACACAACTTTATATGAATAAATGGAGAGAGAGGAGGAAATCCTCCACTCAAATTATTTTATAAAAAAAAAAAAGGAAAAAGATTAAAAAGCAATTCAGAAACCAGCCACAATATAACTAACCAAAAAAAAAGTTATAAAAGACAACCCAACTGAAAAGTAAATGAAAACAAAGGCACAGTCATATTATCAACTTAATCAACCTCATTTAATTTGTTGATTTAAATTTTTAATTTAGATTAAGATGTAATTTTATGTGAGAATTTTTTATTGTAATAAAAAAGTTATATATAATTATTTTTAAAAACTTTTTACTATAAAAAAATTTAAATTTTAAACTTAAATCGGTAAAATTAACAGAGCTATTGACACAACTTCAAACTCCATGTCGATCACGAAGAGTAT